GGGGGCGCCGCCCCCCTTGTAGTTTTGGTACACAAAAATGAAATGAAATGAAATAACAAAAGAAAATGTTATAAATGTTTCAACAATATATCGTATATATGTTTTCTGATAAGCAAAATAAACAATTTATAGTTATTGATGAACTTCTATTTAATTAGAAATAAGTAAGTAATTAGTTGTAATACGTAGAAGTAATTGCTTTTATTGTTTTTGTAGTTAAATAAATAACCTGGCGTGATACAACTCAGTATGCGTTTGTTTACTTTTTAAAATACATGTATGTCTACTTTGGAGTTGTAGCGACCCCCCCCCCCACCCCTGGTGAAAAATCCACCAGCCGCCCCTGCTGTTTTCATAGCAGCTTTGTGGAAATGTGGCACTTCACCTCACATGACTTATATGTCATTTGTATATACTGTCATCATATTTTGATACCATGGTATGACAAACTATTTTCATACTGCCCAATCCTAATGTTACTCCAATTCCCTGAAACATTGTCCACTAACCAATCAAAAGCTTCCAAAGCCATTACATTGTCATCATTTGGGCTTTCTCAGGCAGAGTATTGTTTGTGTTTGTAAATTGACTTTGAAGAAAGCAAAAAAATTCTCTGTTTTTGGGCATTTAGCAAACATTAAAACTGAAAATGGTGGCTCAGTTTCTAGAGCCGTTGCCTCTCAGTAAGAAGGTTGTCAGATTGAATCCCGGCCTGGGGACCTTTCTGGGTAGAGTTTGTATGTTCTCTCTATGCATGTGTGGGTTTTCTCCAGGTACTCCAGACTCCAGACCAGAAACATGACTGGTAGGTTAATTGGTAACTCTAAATTGTCCCTAGGTGTGAGAGAGGGAGTGAATGGTTGTTTGTTTTATTGTGTCCCTGTGATGGACTGGAGTCCTGTCCAGGATGTACCCCGCCCCTCACACAGTGACTGCTGGATATGGACACTGGTGACCCTGAAAGGAAGAAGTGGTTATAGATAATCGATGAATGGATAAAACAGAAAAGGTTTAGTCTGATTTAATGTCTGTAGCTATGTTTACATGGACAAAAGTAATCGGATTAAACAGCCGTTCAGAATAAAGACGCATCATGTAAACAGCCCGTTCAGATTATTCTGATCTGATTGAGCTCGATCCAAATGAATTTTTAATCCGAATGAAAAGGGTGGGTTATACTGATTGATAATCTGAATGAGGTTCATGTAAACACTTAATCTGATCATCTTATTCTGATTGTAGAAAACTGACCTGTTCACATGTCTGCTGACTTTCATTCACCTGGTGGGACAGCAGAGCTCCAGCTGAGCTGCACCGTGCAGAACTTTTCCTCCTCGCTCTCTTAACAGATGAAAAAGGAGGCAAACAGCAGACGTTGCTTCACAAAAAATAAAAATAAAAAGCACATATTGCTTCATCTGCAGGCTGTAGCTCAACCGAGGAGTAACGACATCTCTACCGTTATTCAAAGCTGACACAGGTCCATCCTGAGGCACAGAGGAGCTTTGTTTACGTTTGTAACAGGAAGTAGAGCTGAACGTTTACAACACTGCACATGTCCGGACTTTTATTCTGAGTAAAACTCCGGTGCATGTAAACAATCTTCATGATCGGATTGTGTCCATGTAAACAGTACATTCAGATTATTTAATCTGAATACATTTCAAAAGGAGCAGCTTCAGCAGTCTTTTGCTCTGTGGTTCTAAAACACAATCAGCCCTGAACTCTGAGCAGCTCAGAGACTGAAAGTTTCTTTTTTCTGTCTTCTTCTGTCCCCTGAACGCTGCATCACCTCTAACAATAATCAAATTAAATTTTATTGCTAATTTAATTCTGGGATGTACTTGTGACCTGCTGGAGGTAGACACAGGCTCTCCCATGAACTGAAAAGGTAAAAATGAGTAAAGAAAATAAACTGAAGGATATTTTGTGACTGATTCACTGAATTTTAGATGCAGCTTATATCTTTATATTATGTGATCAGTTTTACTTTAAACAGTTGGAGAATCAACAAGTCTGTACCTAATATGTGCCTCCCTCCAGCAGGATTTACATCTAATTGTTTACATTCCAGTATATGAAAGCTGACGTACAAAGGACCACCCACTGGGGGTGTGACCAGGGTTTCATTAAGTATTATGAGGTCATGTGATTTGGGGCCATTTTGTTTTAGACTTCCAGGGCCACACAGGCTCTGAAGGTGAAGTGAGTCTTTAGATCTGAAAATAAACATTTAACTGAGTGACTTTCTGTGTGTTATTCAGACTTTCCAATTTGAACATTTTTTACAAGATGATAAACAAATTTAAAAATAATATGAGCTGCTGAAAGCGCTGTGTCCCTGCTTGTAAAGTTGGTACAGAGTTATCACAGTAAATGGGACACTGCTCACCTTGTCCCTTTGTTGGTTTTTTGAACAAACTGACCAAATAAACCTTTCATAAGAAGTGTGGGTGTGGGTGGGTATTTTGTGACATATGAGGATCATTTTAAGACAAAACACCTACATGTGGGTGAAAGAAAACTGTTAAATGTGTTCAATTACCATTTTATGTGTTTGAGCCAGACAGAAAATACACAAATACATGAATGTTGAATGTGAAGAGTCAAACAACACCACACCAGAGTCAAACAACACCACACCAGAGTCAAACACCACCACACCAGAGTCAAACAACACCACACCAGAGTCAAACAACACCACACCAGAGTCAAAAAACACCACACCAGAGTCAACACCACACCAGAGTCAACACCACACCGGAGTCAAACAACACCACACCAGAGTCAAA